GAGCGATTTACACAGTTTCACCTTCGTTGGACAATGGGGAGACATTATGAATAATGTTGACCATTGAGGAAGTGTGGTGTTATTGGTGATGCCTGGCTAACGTACCTTTTTGACACACATGAGAAAAGTATGAAGAATAAAAATAGGTTGTACCCTTTCTGGCAATAAAAAACCTTTTGCAAAGAATCAAGTCTGCATTATCCATACCATCTTATGGTGAACATGCAAACAAACATGCTCTGATAATATTTATTCTGAGTCTTTCGGTAAAGCCACATATAAGACGATTGCTTGTGTTGCGATTGAAACGTCGTGATATTTGCATTATATCTCTATCTACGTGGCTTTACCGAAAGACCCATAGAATATGTATTCCTGCAGTCACGAAAGCTTTAGGTCAAGATTATGCTCCGATAATATATACATTGTCTTTGAAACTGATTGGCCTACACCAGACAGCCTTTTTAGGGCCTATTCTCACCAGTGTCAGACAAGAGAAGGTCAAAAGGCGAAGAGTACAAATACGATGCACTATCAGAGCATGTATAGCATGAAATAGCTGGTCACCCCCAACTATAGATGCTTTGATAGTGCATCGTCTGTGCGCTGTTCGTATTGTGGCGTTCTCTGGTCTGACACTGGCGAGACAAGGCCATGAATAAGTCTGTCTCTGGAGCATTGTTTGCATGTTCACCACAAGTACGTGTAGCTAATGCAGAAATGAGTCCTTGCAAAATGTTTCTATTTGGTGTTTGAACATCTTCACACCACCTGTTTTATTTCCAGAAAGGGTAAAAAAACACCTATTCTTATTTGTTTCATGAAAGAACGTGGTGATTGCGCCGTTCTAGCAGGGCACTCTGTCACTCTGTCTTGGCTGCAATCGCAGACACTGTGAAGGCAATGCTTGACGGATCGTACAATTTTGATTTAAAGCTTTCGTGACTGCAGTGATTCATATTCTTGGTTCTTTCGGTAAAGTCACGTTGAAGGGAAACAATAAAATAATAAAATATATATAATATATAAACAACAACACAAGCAGTCATCATCAGGTGATGACTGCTTGTGTTGCAGTCGAAACGTCGTGAGAATTTTATTGTTTTATATATATATTTTATTGTTTTAATGTTTCCCTTCAACGTGACTTTACCGAAAGAACCAAGAATATGGATCGTACGATCTCTGCGGAACGACCAAAACCGGCTAGGCTGTGCGGTGAGTGGAATATGACAGTACAGCAAATGGACGCAATACGATAACATCATCTCTGCAGATCTTTGGGTGCTATTCACTCAGATGTATGAACTTTCTCTGGATACTCCCATTTTTTTTTTACCCACACGCAAATCCTCATCAAGCACCCTCCCGAAAATAAAGTTGCGAGACTCAAAGTCTTCCCCGGATAGAGGGCATTATTATGATTCATATTTCGACTCTGCTACTTAAACTCTCGAGTCCCGAAGAGAGAATGCACAATTGTTCATGTGCTCTTATCTCATTGTCAATTTTACCGAGTGGGTTGTCACTCCTGAGTTGTGCTTTTCGGGTTGTTGTTTGGCATGTTGTCAGACGTTTCGCATCACCTGCTCGGAGCCAATTCTGGATAGTGCTTTGGAAGGGCAGCTGCATTGCACAACAGGTGTTATAGGCTACGGGGTTACGTTTTGGACAGCAGAGGGCAGTGCGTCTCTGCGCGTCGCCTGCACCAGCCCGCACAGACCAGCGGAGGTTACGTCCGGTCAATTAACCCCGACAGCCCTCACGGCGTGGGGAGGCGCTCACTCATCCAGCAGTGGAGTCACAAAGACGTCCCCCGCATGCTCGTGGCTTTTCAATGAGAGCTCGTGCATGACAATGGGAGCAGCTACACGGCGGGTGCGAAGAGAATGCAACACCAATACACTGCACTGTCGTGGGAGAGAGAGAGAGAAGAATGACCCTCCCATAAATGACCTCACACTTTCTGACTCGACATTTTTTTTTCCCCAGGAGTCATTCATCACGGCCTTAATAGTGCAAGCGCACAACACACAGTATCGATCAGCCGCTTGCCTAATAAGATGAACATGGAGCATTACATCTGAGCCTGGCAGTCGGCTGGGACGACGCGTGATGATGGATGGATGCGTGGGTGACGAGGAGGGGCACTCCGTGGAGAATGGTCGCATCTCGCGCCACCAATGCGGAGTTGGCATCGCACTTTTTGGCCGCAAATGAAACCCGAGACGATCTCGCAGCACCCGGTCAGACAAGCAGGACAGACAAAACGTGTCCATCGGCCTTCTTCGTCGGCACAACAAGAACGACTAAGCAGTTGTAAGACCATCAGCCGACACCTTTCGGGGGGAAATGTTTTTATTATTATTTTTTATTATTATTACACGCTTTTTTATTAACTCACTCTGTTGTATCCTAAAATCTTGTAACTAAATTTGTACCCACTTCCCAATGTGGTATCGACTGCAAACTTGGTATACTTATGTCATACTAGTGACAATACTATATTATATCATTAAAATAAAAATATATTTTTAAACATTCTTTTTTACATGTTATCTTTCGGCTTGGGTCTAATTGTCCACGCTCAACTGACGTTGCCTGCAAATCACCACGGTCCCCTTAAGTTATGGCAAGCTTCGGGGCCACTTCCTGGAGTCGTGGAGTTCTTCCATTACCCGTACGGTACATTTCATTAAAGCGTGTTTAAAAAAAAAGTATTTTAAATATTTTTTTTTATTTCAAGCAGGATTTGTTTTCAGCGGCAGAGCCTCAGACCGGTTTCTACTTTTGAAGGTGCATCAGCAAGGGCGTGTGAGCCGTTACAGAAATGCTGCTGGGTAGTCTGTGTCCTGTGTAGGTAAGGGCTCTTTGTGCAGTTTGTGCAGCTCGGAGTCGAAGTGCTCCGACTCTCGCAACGACGTATAAGCTCTTCTATTGTTGGCCATATCTGTATTAAAATTGATTAACACGTAGGCTTGCGCAACCAATATAATCCATAACAGAGGGGTTTTTTGGGGTTAGATCGCGTAAATATATAAATGTGTCCTTAAAACCCGCCACCACCCGACACAAACAATTGGTAAGGGTTGTCACGTACACAGAACATGTCAATTCGTTACTAATACAGCACACCGGTGTGTTGGAAAGAAAATCCACATGTCCACAACATTGCCCACAACATTTTGATGTGTGCTGTACTAGTAACGAATCGGCGTGTTCTCTTTACGTGACAATAGGAGTATATGATTTGACATGCGTGCGAATTGTGTTACAAAAATATAATGAAGGCTGTTGTGTAGAAATAAGACCGAAACACTGGGGCAGGCAATCCTACCGAGACGATGAACAGCGCAAACGAGCCAGAACGAGACAAACAACACACACGAGCCAGACAGAACAAACAGCACAAACGAGCCAGACAGAACAAACAGCACAAACGAGCCAGACAGAACAAACAGCACAAACGAGCCAGACAGAACAAACAGCACAAACGAGCCAGACAGAACAAACAACACACACGAGCCAGACAGAACAAACAGCACAAACGAGCCAGACAGAACAAACAGCACAAACGAGCCAGACAGAACAAACAGCACACACGAGCCAGACAGAACAAACAGCACAAACGAGCCAGACAGAACAAACAGCACAAACGAGCCAGACAGAACAAACAGCACAAACGAGCCAGACAGAACAAACAGCACAAACGAGCCAGACAGAACAAACAGCACAAACGAGCCAGACAGAACAAACAGCACAAACGAGCCAGACAGAACAAACAGCACACACGAGCCAGACAGAACAAACAGCACAAACGAGCCAGACAGAACAAACAGCACACACGAGCCAGACAGAACAAACAGCACAAACGAGCCAGACAGAACAAACAGCACAAACGAGCCAGACAGAACAAACAGCACAAACGAGCCAGACAGAACAAACAACACACACGAGCCAGACAGAACAAACAGCACAAACGAGCCAGACAGAACAAACAGCACACACGAGCCAGACAGAACAAACAGCGCAAACGAGCCAGACAGAACGAGACAAACAGCACAAACGAGCCAGACAGACGGAGTCAGGCAGTACAAACGAGCCAGACAGACGGAGTCAGGCAGTACATTCGGGCGCGGTGGAGACGGACACTGGGAGGCGGACAGTCCACGCGGTGCTCGGTATAACACAAAGGCAAACGAGAATCGATTCTTGGAGCGTGAAAAGTTTGCGGGCTTTCTAGATTTGGGCGATATTTGTCGCAAGCCTCCAGCAAGCCTGGGTGGCCAGGCCAGGTGAGTCTTGCCGTGGTGAGGGGCTTCGGGTTCAAGTTGACAGGTGACTCACTTCGGGTGAGGTCCAGGTTCAGGTTTGGCTTTGAGTTGAGTCGCTCGCACGTGGCACAGCCACGCCCGTCCGTGACCTTGCCAATGCTGCCTTGCCTCGTTTGACTTACATTCAATCGGTTGACAGCACGTGTGTGACTTTATCGGTACGTCAATTGCATATGCAACACAGTATACGTATACAATATCAATGACTGCGATGATGACTGGGGCATTGGAGTAATTTATGATGATGATATTCTAGAAGGGCTAGGAAGCTGAAACGTGGTCCATATATTGCTGAACCGAATACAATAATTAAAAAAATTCTCATTGCATCCAACACACATTTGAGTCCCCGAAATACATATTATCCGTCGAGAATGTTTGACCGCTGTGTTTTCGAAGCTAGTTAGACCTGCGAAAGTTTGTATCTGGAGGTGATGAAAGGTGTGAAATCAGATTTTTAAAAATGTGAAAACCAATTGTTTACATTTTTGAGCTCTCAAATATTGTAGGAAGTGCCATACACTGTACAGTGTGTTGTTTGCGCCCTATCGTGCTTTGTATAGTTTGTGCACAATACAGAGTACAGCATGTATATAATGTACGACTTATACATGCTATCTTAATGAATTATACGTGCATGTATAATAAACATACAGACATGACTTCATGTCTGCATGAATATTTGGATGTACGTATGTGTGAGTATATAAGGCACGTAGGCCGTGTGTATAGTCAATGTAGCGCGTGCATGAACACAGGATATGCGTGGCATGTATGGTACACGTGTGGTGCATGTATGTATCCACTGCGTGCGTGCGTGTCATCAAGCGCGCGGTACGTAAAGCGTCACGCGCCCGCTGCACGTGGCACGCGCCCGCTGCACGTGGCACGCGCCCGCTGCACGTGGCACGCGCCCGCTGCACGTGGCACGCGCCCGCTGCACGTGGCACGCGCCCGCTGCACGTGGGGTGCATGTTGCATGTACATCACGGCGTGTGCGTGCACATCATGACGGCGTGTGCGTGCACATCATCACGGCGTGTGCGTGCACATCATGACGGCGTGTGCGTGCACATCATGACGGCGGGTGCGTGTATAGTGAAATAATGAATGCGGGAGTCCGCCCGTCGCCAGAGCTCTGCGTATCGCGAGAGTTGGTTGCGTTCCCTCCTCCTCCTCTCCCCTCCCCTCCGGTCCGCTCACAAAGGCACCAGTCACGGCGTCTCGGTGTCTCACTCCCCCCCCCCCCTTCGTCTGCGTCTCTCTCTGTCTGTCTCTCAGCTCCCCTCGTCTCTCCTCGTATCCTCTTTCCTCCTCTTCATCATCCTGCTCCTCCTCCTGCTCCTCCAGCAACAGCAGCAGCAGTTGCTGCTGCTGCTGCCCCCATCCTCTCGCCCCGTGTTCACGCCGCCGTGGCCATTACGAGTCCGGCCTGGAGGCTGCGTCCAGGGTGCGTGTCTCTCTCTCTCTGTCTGTGTGTGTGTCTTTGTGTCTACGTCTGTGTCTCTGTGTATCTGTGGTGCTTCTCTTTGTGTCTCTGTGTGTGTCTGTCTGTGTCTGGGTTTCCGTGTCTCCTCTCTCCGTATGTCTGTGTGTGTCCCCACGTCTGTCTCTGCGCGTGTCTGTGTGTGCTTCTTTGTGTGCGTTTGTGTCTGTCCGTGTCTGTCTTTGTGTCTGTGCGCTTGGCTTTGTGTGCCTGTGTCTTTGTATGTGTGTCTACACAGTATCTCTGCGTTGGTATCTGTCTATACGTGTGTGTATTTCTCTATGTCTCCAAGTGTCGGTGTCTCGTGTGTGTTTGTGTCTGAGTGTCTTTGCCCTGGTGGCGGTGTCTGTGTGTATGTGTGTCTATATTGTCAATCTTTGTGCCTGAGTGTATGCGTGTTCCCGTGTCTCTCTGTCTTGATCTTGATGTCAGCCTGTCTCTTGAGTGTCCATGTCTGCGTACTTTGTGTGTTTGTCTTTGCGCGGTGCAGTTGTTGTACGCCACTGTGTGTCGTGTGTGTGTGTCTCGCCACGTGTCTCTCTACCTTGGTAAATGTGCACCTCCGTGCGTCTTCCATGTTTGCCTTGTTGTCTATCGAACTCTGCGTATGACACCATTGTTGTTGTAACTACACAATGGTGTTTGTCTTCTATGTGTGCCCTACTTTTGTATGTTTATGAGTTCGGCCCTGGCTGCGTGCGTGGACACATCATCTGTCTTGTTTTGTAATCATAATCCCAGGAAACCCTCGCTATCCGTGTACATCCCTGTGTGTGTCTCTCTAGTTCTTGTGCTTATGCCCCCGCGCCTTTGTGTTTCCCTGCCATGATAGTTGTGCGTATCGGTTGTGCTTTTGTGTCCTCGTGGCTGTGTGTACTTCCATGGGCAAACACGGTGTCTGCAAGACCGCCCGGTTGTGTCTCCATCCGTACCCGTGTGGTCATGTCGCTATCTCTCTCTCTCTCCCCACGTGTCTCCATCCGCCTTGTATCTTTTGTCCTTGCGTGACATTGCGCTGATGATGCCCGTTACAGGAAGCGGCCGGGGTGCAGGGCTGCACTCATGTGCGAAGGGACGACACGAGGAGGACACCTCGCCCGAACATCATCATCATCATCCGGTGTGGACACGACGCTCACCTCGTGACCCCGTGACCCCTAGGCGGGGGTCACGGCACCGGCGCGATGCTCCGGGTGCTCACCAAGAGGCTTCGGGCTCAGTCGCTGAGCGAGCCATGGCCTGGCTCCGCCAAGGTAACACCAACCAGGGTCCCCTCTCGTGGGACTGCTGCCAAATCCCAGTGCCAAAAGTTATGGAGTGGGGGTCAGCGAATGGGACCGGCGTCCCGATAAATCTCGTTGTCCGTTGATAGATTACTTTTTTCCTAGAAATTTTTATTTATTTTATTCGTGTATAAGCGGAGTGGCTCAGATTGTGTTGGCAAATTCATCGCAGTCTCGTTTATTTTTGGATAAGTCATCCAGATGTGGTCTCGGAAAGCACTAAATCTGCATTCCTCTTTTTGTTTACAGATAAGCGGAGTGACCCAGACGTGGTAGAAAATTGATTTAATTACCTGTGATTTTGTCTGCGGATTACTTTGCGGATATCAGGATTATATTTACATGGACATACACGGATAACAGGCTCACCCAATATCCCACCCCTGTTTATGAACGTCGATAAGCGGCTGGTGGGTGGCTATACGCGGTGTGTGGCGCCATGATTAGAGCTGGTGACTCACAGTCGGAAGTTTGCGAGCTCATATCCTGCTTGCAGGCCGACTCGGCTCATCGCACTGCGGCTTCGTGGTAAATAAAATGGTGCCATGCTTGTGGAAAGTAGCGTCTATTGTCTGGCACTTGTCATATACACGTGGAATTTCCACCCACTCATTTAGGTGAACGTGAGCACTTCCCCAAGCTTGTTCGAGCAGAGACATCTAGGTTGTTGGCTTACCCTGAGAAAGGTGCGTCGGGAGGTTGGAGTGGCATGATTAGAGCATTCACTGAATAATTGTTATTCTGCATAAGAATTTGGTGTGTGTGACCATATCGCTCAATCTCGCCAGACCTGGGAAGCTCAGCTGGGTTGTGCCTGAACATTGCTTGGATGAGCGATTCCTAGATGGTCAATAGTGGCTGCAGAGTCGTGTTACTGGACTTTCTGCGGAGGGCAATGGAGCAAACCCACTAGTTGTTCGGTGCTGCGCACAACCTTCACCAACCCGCACCAGGTCAAATAACTCCCACGGTGGGTGGTGGGGGGGCCTCATCCAGCAGTGGCTTGACAAAGTGGGCTGTACACGTGCGTAGGAACTTCCTTCACCCTTCCGCTTGTGTAAAACGTGACGCTAAGACAGGCCTCCACAGAGCCCAACATTAAACTTTGGGCAATTGAATGTAAAAAAAAAATCTTCAACCACCCAATGTACACACGGTTGTTCTCTTTCCCGCGGCTCGTAATTTATTGCCCTGTCACGAGCGTGCCATTTCTTTGTAGACCCAAACTGGTGCTGTACAAAACCAGCCACGCTTGGCACGTGAATGTGTTGAAGCGCTCGTGACAAAACACAGATACTCCTGCAGGCTTACTCACTCCGTGCACTGTACCGTGCTCCATTGCTGGGTTGTGGACACACGCACGCGCGCACACACTGAGCGCGCCTCTACAGCCCACACACACAGGCGTGGCGGTGTCGACGACATTGTCCCATTCATTGAGTTTCCAAAAAGGCTTTTTTTCACCTACAACAGCTTGACCCCGTGGGTCAAATTTGAGATACTGCATTGTACGGTCAATTCTCAGTTATTCCGGTGGGGGGGGGAAGGTGGGCGGGTGCATGGTTTGGCCCGAATGCAACAAAGACACTATCATGCAACTGATCGTAAATGTTGTGGCTTGGCTCTCCAACACACCGGTGTGCTGTACTAGTGGCGAATTGGCACGTTCTGTTTACGTGACAACCTTTACTAGTTGGCTCTGTCGGGTGGTGGCGGGTTTTAACGACACATTTATATATTTATGCGATCCAACCCAAAACAACTCTATTATGGATGAAACTGTTACATAAATTTGGCCCGAATAGATATTTATTGTTTGGCTGCATAGAACAGGGGTGAAGACGTAAAAAGCATTGTCTGTTTTTATTGCCAATTAAAAAGTTATCGGTTTACTTGCCCACGTGTTTGCGGGCGCCGAGTCGCAGACCCTCGACGAGCGAGGATCAGCTGTTTATGGAACTGGCTCGTGTGTGGAAGGTTTTGTTTCTCGCGCGTATGGGTAATCCGCAACCCGGATAATCGACGGCCACTCCGCGTGGTCCCACCAGTGAATCGGTCTGAGCAGTATGCCGCCTCTTACGCAGCGAGAGCCAGCAAGCACAGCTCTGTGTGCCGGGCGTGCTGCTGCTGCTGCCTCCTAATCAAATAACCAAAACAACGACAAAACACGTTTTGATTTTGCTGCAGGGATGCAAATGTGCCTTGCTGTTGGTCAGTCTGCTGGAACCTTCCGGGGGTTACGCTGATGGGAGTGGGAATGTGGAGGCTGGAGGAGGAGGCAGCCGCTCCCACAACCTTTGGACGAGGGGGGGCAACTGACGTGCTGCACCCTCCCCCTTGAACGGCGTTTATAGGCTCCCTTGGCTACCTGCCCCCTCCCGCACGACCACAAAACAACTCGTACACGACGGCTAGTGTTGGAGGAGTCCAGGCACGTTGATTTGTTTAGCCGTGTGAAACTGAAGAGCGCAAGGATAGGTCTCATTTGCAACAGGGACCAGGGTCATCAAGATGACAGACGCTATAAAATGAAAACATTTGATTACTAACAATAACAACGAATGCCAGACTGGGGGTGCACAACATCTCCTTTTCGGTAGAGTCCTGCATTTTGGATGTTTGGCCAGTTCCATTGAGGAGCGATTGGCACTCTTGAATTGGGATCAAAGCTTGTCCTCGCCACGCATGCACGCACACGCTTGAAAAGAGCCATGTTGAGGTCTGTGAGGCAACGGCCAAAGCGGGGGGGGGGCCCTGTCGCCCTGGCACTTTGCCCCAGCGCTGGTAATGGAGACGTCGGCGCGTTATCGCCAAACATCGAGGGGGCTAAAGGGAACGTTCGCCAAAGCGAGAATCGGGAAGGTGCGGGGGTTGGGGGTTGATGTTCTGAGCGTTCAGGAAAGTAGATTTTTCTCGACTGCGAGGGTGGCGGAAGAGGGGAACGATCGGCTTGCCAGCGGATTTTGGTGGACTTGGAGAGAGAGACGGGGCGGTGGCGGTGCCTGTGTGCAGGTGACGTGCTCCTCCAGCGACGAAGATGAGACTCAGGACTCGGAGGATGAAAATCAGGAGCTGGCCCTCATTGACAAAGGTACCGCGATGGTGCACGTGGCTGGCACGCGCGACGCTACGCCTAAACGCGGCGGCATGCGCCATCGTCCTCGCGGGCCGGCATCTATCCACTGCTGGATGAATGCGTCGCCGGAGCCGCCGCCATTTTTGAGGGTCTGGCGGTGCCGCGATCCTTCGTGTTCCTGCACCACGAGCCGATTCACTCTGCTGTCTGTCACCACTCTCGTCGCGCGCGGAAGAGCGTTGTGTCTCCCTTGCGTTTGCAAGGTAATCCTTGCCAGTCGGTGATTCATTGAAATTATGTTAGTTGCTTGGTCACTCACGATGATGAAATTGTTCTTTAATTATATTGTTGCTAATGCATTGTTTATTGTGAATGCGTTGCGGTAATTGTTGATTGCTAATGCATTGTTTATTGTGAATGTGTTTGTTGGTCGTTACTTTATTGTTAATTGTTGTGCATTGTTGACCGTTTCAGGTCATGTTGATATCAGGTTTGTGATCGCCAGTGTTTGGCTTGCTAGTTGTGATGGTTTTACCCGATGTGCCGTCTTAGCTAGGTCCCCATTGAAACGGAGCCCTTTCGGTCTCAATTGTCTCTAGCTGGCTTGGGGTGAATAACGAACGTTTGTACAAGAGCGCCGCGTGCGCTGCCGTAGGCTACAGGATGCGCCATCAGGGGAGGTGCACCGCACGTGCGTGCAAATCTGCTAAAACTGCGTGGCGTTGTGTTCAGTGTTTCCCTGAACTCTAAAAATATAAAGACAAAATACTCTTGTGTGTTTGCCAAGTGCCAGTGAGTGGAACGTACCTAGAGGGGGTGAGGGGAGCACGCAATGATTGCGATGCCAGGAGTGGTTGTGAGTAGAAGAGGTGAGACGCGTTTCCTTGGCTGCCCCTTTTTGGTTCGGCCACTCGAGTTTTTGGTGACCGACCCCACGGGCCGCACGCTGTGCCACCAGCGTCAGGGCACAGGCCTAACCCTGGCCTAACCCTGGCCTAACCCTGGCCTAACCCTGGCCTAACCCTGGCCTAACCCTGGCCTAACCCTGGCCTAACCCTGGCCTAACCCTGGATGCAGCCTTCAAGCAGTTCCCACACTCATCCCAGCTGGTTATATAAAGTAAAGTAGAGGCGGAACCCTTGATAGATCTCCATTTCAATGTGGTACGGTGTGCCAGTGGTAGGCGAGGCATATCATTGCCTTTGTGGTCATGGTTTGTTTTGCAGGCATATATGTGTGTGCTTGGGGTTTAAAACATTCCTTGGCTTCACCTTACAAGTGTGGCACTCTCTCAGCTTAACCGCTTCAACATTTACAGTTGTTTGGACGTTCCAGCACGGGATGGTAATAATATTATCGCTTGTTCCGCCCGTTTGAGTGAGGTGGCTCAGCAGCGCTCTGAGCTGGATACATTGTCATTGCGAATACACGGACATGGTTGGAATGATTTATCTTATAGTGGCAGCACCTTGTGTTTCTGTGTGCCGAAGCCATGGGAACTGGTTTATCAACATTGCTTGCAGAAAAAAAAAAAACCCTGACTATTTAATTGAATGTACTTCATACCCACGGCAAAGTCATCGGCGAGGACTGACGATGTCGTCCGGCCACGTGCGCGTGCAGAACACCGGCGGTGCGGCGGTGGTGGAACGGGAGCGGTGCAGGCCGTGCACCATCAGTGGGAATTCCGCGCGGTCTCGCGGACCAGCTCAGCACCGGAGCGTCCCGGCTGCGAAGACGACCCCGAGCGACCTCCCGGGGCGGCGGCGGTGGCGGCGCCTTTCACCGACCGGCGCGGGTGCGGCACGGTCCAGCGGCCCCAGTCGCTGCCCGAGAAGCGCAAACGCGCCCCCATGGACGGCTGCTGCCAGGCCGGCGGCGGCGCTGGCAGCGTTTGCTCGAGCGACGACGAGGTGAAGGCGCTGTGCGTCGACGCGGGGACCGGCGGCTGCGGCAGCGGTGCCGTCTTCGGGCCGCTGCCTCCGCAGGCCGAGCAAGACCCCGGGTGCGAGCACCCCAGCGCCTTCAGGCCGATCCAGCAGAACGAGCAGGACGGCGCGTGCGACGCAGTGCGTGGCGGCAGCCGATCGCAGCAGAATCACCACCACCAGCAGCAGCAGCAGCAATATTTGTCGCCGTGCAAGCGGCTGAGGCCGGGCTGGGAGCAGGCGGCCAGGCCCAGCCTCGACCTGGAGAAAATGCAGCAGGTGAGGCGGGCGCGACGGTCCTTGTGGTGTTGTTGTCATTGTCATCGTCCGTTATACAGGGTGATCCGTTTCTAGATACCCCACCGATTTATAATGACCCCATCGCACTTTTTTTGTCAACATCTGATTGGAAATTGTGACTGCGATGGCTCGATAGCCTACGGTGAGTGCTAGACAGTGTAATAAGTGCATTTAAAATTGGTGGGAGACGTGTGGAGGCTTTGAAACAAACGAGTTTTTTTCTGTTAGTGGTATTTTAGTGGGATATCTAAGAGTATCTGTGGATCACCCTGTACAACAATACGGGACACTTCGCTTCTGTTATAGTGCTCTGCACGCAGAGCGTGGTTCCCAGAGGCAGACTGTACGGACGAGTTCGTACAAGGGTGAATCTCATCCACAGTTGTCCGTCTCTTTATCACCGTTCCTGTCGGTCACATTTGCTCAACTTGGCATGATGGTGCCCAAAGTCAAGAGGGGCACGATGCACTTGGTTTTTTGCACAATACATAAAGTCTGAGTGCTTTTTACACATTTCCTATGGGTCGTTTGAAACCTACTCGGAGCATCCCCCAGGGCACTTAACAATTAAAAACACAACCCCAAAAACTCAATTGGCCGATCAATCCGCCTCAAAAACAATATAAGATTCGATTGTGCCAGCAACAGTCCTGGTGCGGCTGCGAGTAGAGTTGCCTCACCACGCCTCACCACGTCGCACCACGCCACACCACGTAACTCCAGAGCTGCTCCCACCAAGGTGACCGTAGTGGTGGTGCTGCTTACAGCCCCAAGCCAGTAGTGGCATTTCCACGTTCCTATGACCAGGGCGTCCTGGTGTCTGTGCCATTGGGAGACAGGGATTTTAATCCGAAACCGTACAGTCGCAAGTCGTTTTGGTCCAAATTCCTTTCCGCCCGGTACGGAAATGTAGGAATCTCGTTGGTTTCATCGACGCTCGTGTTTACTATGCCTTTTGCGTAACGACCAGTTTGGCGAAATAAGTACCGCGGGGAATCGCCGAGGGGGCGCTTCGTAAAGCCGAGTGGAGCCGCCGCCGTCGTCGCCGTCGCGAGCGAGCGAAATCCTTTCGAGCGAGGGCAGGTGGGTGCACAAGCGCCTAGAGCCCGCGGCGCCTGCTGGTTTTATTTGCTTGTAAAGCCACATCATTACCAATGACCCCTATCTCTCTCCGGGCACTGCTGGCTGTAAATTAAGTTTGAGGGGTCTCCTGCTATTATATTGATGGCCATCTATAAAAGCCCAAAGCGTGAGCTCGTGTTAGTTATGTATGGATCGGCAAATAAAGCGGTAATTAAAAGATACGCTGTGTAAAAATGCATTTGACTCGCCGTAAAATATCTTGCAACACCGCACGTAAGTCCGTAGAGGTGACATGTGTACCCTATTGTATAGATTATCAGAAGCTCTGGAACGTAAGAATTAACCACCAACCTGTGCACGGTGCCAACATCGTGATACAAATCCGCCGAAATTGGTGGCAACGTCACCACGGCGCTTGTGCCATGCGAGGTCCACTTGGAGGTCACGTGAAGTGTGGAAGGCTGGCTGTGAGCAGGAAGTCACGGGACAGACCCAAGGTGGTTATGGGTGTTTCTGGCTTGGATGACTGGCGGATGCACCACCTGTGTGCTCCCCAGTCGAAAATCTAGTCACAAAAAAAACACACACACACCCAGCTTTTCCTTTAAAACACAGGGGAAGCAAATGGGTCTTAACAGCTAACGCTGAAAAATATTACATAGTATCTCAAAATGTGTTTTTGCATGATGTGGGAATAACTGATCTATTTCTGACACATCTGCCAAAAGTCAGAAAACGTCAGCGTATTCTGACAGAACAATGGGTAAACAGAAGAAAAAATAATATTTACGCAAATTAAATAGCAGAACTTGTGGTTTAATGGCTCTAGCCAGTGACCGGGTGTTCAGTGGCCCAACGTTACCGTCCCAATTGGAGCTAAATTCAGTGAGTGTGTGCATTGCACATGTGTGTGTGTTGGTGTGTGTGGGGGAGCGGTAGTGTAGCGGTTAGCATGCTGTGCTATGAGCCTGGCGACCCGGGTTCGATTCCCGCTCACGGCAACACCAGTGACGATTATCTGAACCGATCCTGGGCCTCCCTTCGGTCGACTCGGCATCAAATGAGTACCTGGTGCGGTGTGTAAACATCGCCACTGGGGAGACAAAGGCGGTCGGCCACGCTGCTGGTCACCCACCCCCTCGTGTACCGTTCCGGCCTTCATAGGTGCTCGCTAACAGCACTTGGCCCTACATTTTGTTAAGGCTATACGGGGGATCTTTGTCTTTGTGCATGTGGGTGTGTTTGTGTGAGTGGGGAGTGGTGGCACAGTGGTTATCGCGCTGCTCTACAAAAAGGGGCGACACGAGTTCGATCCCTGCTCACGGCCAACACCAGTGATAATTATCTGAACTGGTCATGGGCCTCCCCTAGGTTGACTCAGCCTCAAATTAGTACCTGGTGCGGTGTGTAAACATCGCTACTACAAAGGTGTTGCGTTGACAACCCCACCCCGTTTCGGCCTTCATAGGTGCTACTCGCTAACAGCACTTGCCCCAATGGTCTGTTAATGCTTTAACGGGGGAGCTTTGTCTTTGTTTGCACACGAATCAAGAGGCCACCTGTGGCCAACCTTAACCAGGGTGTTTTTATGGTATTCTGTGCATGTGACTGCTGGCCTATTCGTGGTCGTTGCCCGTTCATTTGGATGTAACACTTTAGCTCAGTAGCTCTCAAGCGTTTTGGTGCCGTTGCGGTGGCCCCCCCAGTCGACACGATTGGCCCACGTGTCCCCCCCCCCTCCACCGCCCCCACCCTATTCAAACGACCTTCCAACCCCTGCGCCCCCCCAAGGTTACTCAGGCCACAATACACAGAGAGATCACATGCTATAGTAAACGCGGTGTTCGTAAGGCGCGTGTTTCATCTTGTACGTTCGTGTTTTTTGTATCAGTAAGCACGTGTTTCATGTTGTGTATTAGTGAGTTTCATCACCACAACGTGGTGCTGACGTTAACTCCGCACGGTCCAAATTCACCAGGGTCGCCGCTGACCCACGCGGTGCATGTCGCGGTCAAACAGTTGCCGTGAACGACAGGTCCTCGTCTAGCGGTGGAATGATAGCCACCGCTACAATGCGTAACAAGGGTGAGTGACCCCTGAACAGGATTGGAATTGGCAAACGTGTCGTTTGGGGTTGAGTACCCGTGCCGCCAGGCCACCCAACCAGTTGATTGAAGGTGTTCATCCCACCGGCTGTCACGGCGCAAGTGCGAGCGGCTCGCAATCGGAACGGTTGCGAGTGCAAATCCTGGTTGGTGGTCGACTCAGCCCATCGTCTCCAAAGGGTCAATGAAAGGGTTCCACGTTGTGAGGAAGTCAACCAGTGGTTGTCCCATGACTAGACTTTCCCCCACCGTAGTTTTGTGGAATTTTCACCACTGGCTCAGGGCTGTAAACAGGTGGTGAGCACCGCCTCGTTGCTCATTTGAGCAGCAGGAAATCACCCTGGCTTGACCGTTTGACCCTGACTAAAACACAGCGCCACCTGGCCAGACCTCGTGTGTAAACAGTGACTGCGAGCTCACGTTAAAAACACAAACAGAGGGAACGAGGAGGAGAGGAAAAGAAAAGAAGGGAGAGAGAAAGTGTTAAAGCTGACATTTTTGCTTCAAGGAAGGTGCGCAGGCCACCCTGCTCGCGAATTCCGGAGCGCGTTTGTAAGTTAGGGTTGATTGCCTCCGCGGTGCTCAATGCCTGGAGATGAATTGAGGGCAGAGTCCACAGCCAGGAAGTCATCGTTGTCTTCTTACGTGGGTGATGCTGCTCTGGGGGTTTGAGATGTGGTGGAACAAACATCCGCGGCCTGATTCGCATCGTGCATATTCTTACCGCCGCACGGTTCTGCGCTCTGTGAAATGTCACGATTCGGGGTCACGATTCGGGGTCATGATTTGGGGTCATGGTTCAGGATCATGATTAGGCATCACGATTTGGGGTCACGATTAGGGGTCATGATTTGAAGTCATGATTTGGGGTCACGGTTCAGGATCATGATTAGGGGGTCACGATTCAAGGTCACGATTCCATGCAAAAATGGACTGATTATTTTCTTGTCCAATTTGTATTGCTACATTGACATTCTTTATTCCCAGAGCTGGAATATATTGCGAAATTAAGTGAAAACTAAATGTAATATCATGGGATTTATGTGCAGTCATGAGTGACTGGGCTGAGATCATTAACTAATTAATGTACTCTTTGCTGAATCACATCTCATTCTGTGTGAGTTTGTGGGTCTCTGTGTAAGTCGTCTGTGAATATCTACATCAGTCTGTGTCTCCGTGCAAGTCTGCGTAAGTCTGCGTAAGTCTGTGGGTCTGTTTGAGAAATCTGCGGGTCGTCGGTGGCTTGGCTGAGACCGCCAACTCGCTCCGCTTGAGCAACCTGGTTCAATCACGTTGCGGCTGAAACCCAAATTCAGGCACAGCGTCTCGGCAGCAGTGCCGGCTCGGTGTCTCGTTGAGCCCTGAGCCACTCATTGCCACCTCTCCCAAGTGAATTTCAATGCAGCCCAGAATACGTCCTGTTGTGAACGTAGGCGCTTGTCGTTGTTTCGGGAGTCGACCCTCGGCTTGTGAGGATTGCACAGAGCTGCCGCACAGCCTGGGCCCTTGTGGATCTGCAGTAACGCTTTGCTGATTTATATATCAGCAACGATTTGTTCACGTTTCACGCGAATGACTCCTTGACACTTTAATTTATTTAACTTGATGGGATTTTTTTTTCCCCCTTCGCTTAAATTTATACAACCTGGGAATTAAAGAAACAAAATGGGGAAAAACTTTGTGAACGATTTTGACTCTTTGCCAGACATTAGTTGTGCTCGTCCGCCGGCTGCCGTAATTGAATCTCGCGAGATCGGAACGGAGGCAATGGTGATTGGTCCCAAGTGAGCGCGGGCAAACGGGAAATTGGGCGGCAACGCGACCCGGAGGCGGAAGCTGGTCGCCGCTCCTTGAAGGGGTTTGGGGTTGGAGCCCGGCGGCCGGCCTGGTCAATACTGCGAGATTATCGGCCCTAAAATACTACTATTGCTACGCGCCATTTGCTTCACAGCGGACGTTCGAAATCCGGTGATGGGTTGTTTTTTTATTATAAAGAGAAGTAGGCCATGCGTGCCGGTGTCACGGTCCAAAGTTGCCAAATTCGATTAAAAAAAAACACTTGGATTAATTACATAATTGGGTAAAACTGTGTAGCAACATCACCCGCCTACTGGCAGACTCTACACGTCTATGAAACATTGCGCCTCGATTTAGAGCGCCGCGCTCTGATCAGAATTGTTTTTTTATTAAAGGGGGGGGGGAGTGGCCTGGATAATTTCGTCCACATTTCCACGACGCCCGAGGCTGAACGGCACCGCGTGTTCGGCGCTGCTCATCACTGTGTGGAGCTGCCACAGCACTGTAAATGGTCCGTGCAGTGCCCTTGCAATCGAGAGGTCACCCGTTCGATTCCATAGAAGCAATGGGAAAATGTATTCATAATTGGGCACGCCACGTTTGGTTGATGAGATCGTATGTGGTGCAGCTAAGTGTGGGTACTCGCAACACATCTGATCAGTCTGGTAAGAGTCGACAAATATTACCCTCTAGAGCTCCCTCTAGAGTGGAGGTTCTTCTGCCAGCAGTGGCGGGAGTGAACTATCGCAGGGCTGCGCCTGTAGCTTAACATTTTTAACCGTGCCGTTTTCTCTGGGCTGAGATGCAGGTGCCTGTAGCCATCCCGGGTGTGGTAAGCGATGCCAAATGTCCCAATTTGGCTGGGACCGGCCATTTTTCAGACAGATTCGTCCCTGCTCCTCCCCCTCAACACTTTTGTGAACAGCTGGATTTTGTCGTTGGTTTTAAACGTCCCCGCTTCGTGCTCGACTCGCGATGCGAAAACACAGAGGACGTGGTTGGATCCTCTGCAATGCCGCACCTGGGCCCAGTTTTCGTACTTTGTCAGATGAGTCTGAGAGCCGAATGCTCTCACCTCTTGTGTGTAGACCGTCAAGTCAGAGTGATTTACTGCTCTCGTGATCTTTAAGGCATCAGTGCTGATAATCCTGTTCATAGCCTTGAACCAGTGGTGGATTTTCCACATCCCTATGACGGGGCGAGTCTCTTGACAATCACGATTGACTTCCCTGCAAAACGTTACTCATTATATCGACCCCAGAGGAATGATGGGCTAGTATACACTGTGGTGGCACATGACAGACAGTTGGTCGAATTGACGGCAACAGAGACGCAGAACGGATAATAACAAAATTCTACGCGTGCATCGTTCTGGGGATTTACACACCGTAAATGTCCCACAACGGCACGTTAGTGAGACGCATAAAAGAACCAATTTCATCGCGCTGTATAACATCCAAACATTGCTTCTGTAATGTTTCGGTGAAGGAGTGAAATGGCATTGTATGTGTTTGCGAGGTTTGTTTTTTTTCGTCGCTAATGTACGTTCGTACGGAGGAACGGCTCTAATGGCTTCATTGCTGCACTTCCCTTCTCTAACGATACGCCGCGACTCGACGTGTCTCGCCGCACGCGCGTGCGATGAGCCGGGAATCAAATTGACTCCGACTTTCAATCACGCGTCGGGGCCAGCTGGCCCCCGTGCAAGCCCACCGGCGCTCTGCGTGGGTAATTAAGTCCGAGCGGGTGCACGCGCGAGCCATCGATCACTCGCCGAGCCGCGCGTCCGACGTGCGTCCCACTCCGAGGTGCAATAAAACCTCGCACCGAGAGCGAACCTGGCAGTCGCCTCCGCCTGGGTTTCATCTGCATAGGGAAGCCGTCGGTGTGGCGCGGTGGTCGGCACGCGGGGCTTGGAACCCAGAGGCCGCCCGTTCGATTCCATCTCCGGGCGCGACCTTTGAGACGACGGCGCACGTTTATTAACTCCCCGCCCGTCCACCGTGGGGTAAAGTGTGGGTACTCCCATCTCCTTCCGAGACGTCTGGGCCGGCGTGGAAGGGTAGGCCAAACACCCTCTAGAGGGGCTGTCTAGTGCTCCCTTTCGGGGAGACCCTTCCGTCAGCAGTGGCCCGAGCAGGCCATTGCAAGGGCTGCACCTTTGCCTTTGATTTATTTTTGGTTTCTCCCGGCGTAAAAGAGTTAAGCTGCCGCAGTCAGTCGAGAATTTTCTTTTGTATAGAATAGAAGCTGAAAATAAGCACACCTTTTTATGAGCGCAGTTCTGATCTAGGTGACGCAGGCTTCCATTGCACTGGTGGAGGAAGGCCAAGGGTAACCATGGAGACGAGAACGCCGTGCTGACACAGCTGGCCGCGTACTCCCTCGGGCTGTACTCTTGCAGAGCTGCTTCTGTGTGCAGACAGACACACACGCACGTGTATGCATCAGGTGGTGCAGCGGTTAGCGAGCTGTGCTACGCACCCGGTGAGCGGAGTTTTATCCCCGGCCGTGGCTAACGCCGGTGGCGAGAGAAATCTGAGCCGGCCCTGGGTCTCACCATGCACCAACCCGCACAGTTTGATGAAGTACGGCCAAACGGCTCGCATGAGCGAAAGGTGGGGGAAAGCCTTCATCCAGCAGTAGATTGATAAAGGACTGTCTATTATTTTGGTTGGGGGCCATCCATTGAGTACGTACGCATGGAGGGGTGTGGGGGGGTTAACCCAAATGTGTACGCTTGCGTATGGGGAGTCGACTGACAATGTACATACGCATAGAAAACGGGGGGGGGGGGGGGGGGTGGTGCGTCAAGCGTACGTACGCAGGTGGGGGGGGGGGGGGGTGTAAAAAGTACGCGTGCATACAGGGAGGGATTTTTGCGTACGTGCTTAATGGATGGCCCCTTGTTCTATACACAGCGGACACACACCGTGCTGTGCCGTCAGCTCTTCTGGGAATAATATCGTACCAACTATGCCAACTAGGGCCACATGGCCACATGGCCCTAGTTGGCCCTAGTTTGCCCGGCACCATCACACTTACAATTAGCATCATCTTCAATCATCGTCATCTTTAATCGTCATCATTATCTTACGTTTTCCAATGGAAATTCTCAAAAGATGTCTCAAGACATTTTCTCAATTGCACCCCAACTTAATGTTGGGCTGCTTTTTTAATCTTTTCGGTAAAGTCACATAGAATGGAGATAAAATAATAAAAATAAAAACAATAAAATACAAATTCTCACGACGTTTCGACCACAACACAAGTAGCCTTCTTCAGGTGAAGAAACAGGACTGTCCAGAAGACAGCGCTAGAGTGAGCACTGCCAAGCAAGGGCCGCGTCTTTTTTAATATTTCAACTTTTCTGAAACGATCGTCGTCGTTCATCATAGAGTAATCTTGTCATGCCTCTGAATTACTTCGCACGCTTGGGTTGCATTCGGCGAAGAGAAACCAGGGGGGCCACACATCGCTTGTGCTCATCGGCATGGCGCGGCCGCACACTCTCGGTGGTACGTGGCGGACAGTTTGCGACGTTCGTGTTGTTTGACGACGTTGGCGCGCGCCGTCCCCGTCGCGCCTCTCGCTCCGTGCCCCCCTAAGTCCTTCGTTTGTCGCTGTTTTGCAGAAGATGGCGTGGCGCAGGCATTGGGGCCCCGGTGCGAGGACGCGCATTCTCAAGTTCCGGGTGAGTGTCTCTCCGTCTCCCACCGCGCGTCGTCGGCGCGATGTCCGACGTTTCGCTCCGCGTGCTGGGAGCTTCTTCGGGAGCCGAACTGCGAACGGCGCGCCGCGTCCGTGTCACGGGATGAAGGGTCCGATCGGAAATCTCGCACGGAGAGCGGTGTGCCCCCGTGCGTCGGGGTGCAGGAGAGGTCCCTTGGCAGGACTTCTCTTCGTGACAAGAATCGATTCGTGTATTTGAACGACATCGCCGAGTGGGTGGGGGCGGGGGGGGGGGCGGGGTTCGTGGGGAGGGGGGGGGGAGGTGAAAGCTCACGATTTGTCAGACTCCTGGGGTCTCCCGTTTTAATCGCAGTTGATCGGCAGGTCCCGTGGGATGGGGCAAAGTGTGGGTGCTCTCACTTCTTCCACGATGTACTGCCCACTCTGAAAGTGCAGCCAACATACTCGCGAGCGGGGCCCGTGCGAGCTCGCTTAAAAGGCAGAGGTGCAGCCTCTGCAATTGCCTTCTCACGCCACTGCTGGTGGAAGCGCCTCCACCGGAGGGAGCCCCTCGCGTGGAGGCCTTCACCCTTCAGCGGTGGTGTGAGCGGGCACTTGCAGGGCTGCGCCTCTACCTTTTAACGGTGCGTGCGTGCGTGCGATCGCTGCGGTCTCCCTGCGTTGGCTACGCGCCCCCGCGTTTTGCTCGCCACCCGGCTCGAGGAGCCGCTGTTAATTTGCCTGGAGGTGAGGCCCCTATTTATATGCAGATGATGCGATTGCAGTGGGCGCGCGGAGATTTCTATTGGGAGCAGTGTCCGTTTGCTCGGCAGGCAGCCAGGCGTGCGTCCAGGCGTGTGCGGCTGGCGTACGTGCGTGCGCGCGTACGTGCGCGCGTACGCGAGTGCGCAGAGCAAATAATAGTCCCAAGACCTTTTGGCCCTCGAGTTGCCGATAGCAGCAACGCCTGACGTCATCAAATTGCAATCAAATTATTTGTTATGGTTCATGTCTCTTGTCATCGTTAAGCCGCTGCAAACACGGCGGGCTGTGAGCGTGGCAAGTGCCTTGGCGGCAGTAATATGCAGGAGCAACGCAAGGGTTTATGTTCTAGAACGAGCTTTACTACCTGGCTTCGCCCGGGACTTGGATTCACCACGCCCCGGCCGCCTTTGTCTCCCCAGTGGCGATGTTCACACACCACACCAGTTACTCGTTTGAGGCTGAGTCGACCTAGGGGAGGCCCAGGACCGGTACTCGGGTCGCCGGGTTCGTAGCGCAGCGCGCGAAACGCTACGCAGTCGCTTGCCCCCCCCACACACACACACAGGATATAGACAAAGATCCCCCGTGTAGCCTGTGAGACTGTAGGGGGAAAGTGCTGTTAGCGAGCACCTATGAAGGCCGGCACGGCACACGAGGGGGTGGGTGACCAGCACCACGCCCGGCCGCCTTTGTCTCCCCAGTGGCGATGTTCACACACCACACCAGTTACTCGTTTGAGGCTGAGTCGACCTAGGGGAGGCCCAGGATCGGTTCAAATAATCGTCACCGGTGGTGGCCGTGAGCGGGAATCGAACACCGGGTCGCCAGGTTCGTAGCGCAGCGCGCTAACCGCTACACTACCGCTCCCCCTCCACACACACACACACACACGCGCGCGCGTCCATAGGTACACATACACGCGCTTTCTGCAGACACACACAACTTTCAGGGTGCGTACGGCAGTAAACGACTAATAAAGCAATGCTGCGCGAAGAACGCCTTAGACCTGCAACACATTTGTATTTCACTTTACCCGCGATCAGCAGGCACACTCCGTTTCGCTTCCGCATACTGGTCACATGACAGATGTGACGTCACAGCTCACTTGCCGTGCAAAATAAATGCATAATTGCGCCCCCCCCCCCCCAAAAAAAAAACCCAAAGTGTATTTTTTTAATATTTGCATGGTGTACAGTCTGGAAAGTACCCACATGGCAAATTTCAAGTTTGTTGCATGTCGGGAAACACGCTAAACATTTTGAACAGACACACATATTCACAAATGTCCCTTTTATATATATAGATAAACCCCCGTCGGTTGGAATGATGTGCCGGTGTAGTAAACACTTACTGTACGCTTTCGAAGTAATTTGGCAGATGTTGGAAAATCTTGGTATGCGATACCGGGCGAATGCTTTTACAAACCGCTTTTACAATTTTTCTCTTTCATCGCCGACACTTTTTACTTGCAACGGGATTCAATGGAAGAAAAAAACAGGCAAATTGGAAGGAAGAACATTTAGCTGGAGGCTCGTAAAAGAACTGTGGCCCCGCCGTGGCGCTCGGCGTGGACCGAGTGCACGCGGGCGCGCCGGCCTGGCTTTTGCGGTGAGAACTCGATGGCGAGTGACTCGCCAAAACTTTGGGCCTGCGAGTGTCGCGTGTAGAGTTTCCGCGTTTCCCTCCGGGATCCGGCGAGGTTACCTTTCATCGAGAGAGCAGGAATAACACATTTTTTTTTTAGGGTAATGCGCGCCATCACGTTCCGGGAAGAGCGCTACCACCACGCTTAGATGTGAAGCAGGCGCCGTTCTCCCTGGCCCCCTAGAGGTTTTACTGTGAGACAAGGATCCCCCGTACAACCTTAACGGACTGTCGGGGTAAGTGCTGTTAGCGAGCGCCTTTTTGAAGCCCGGCACGGCACACGGGGGTGTTAGTGGCCAGCACCACGCCCGGCCAAACTAAAACCATTTGCAAGGAATCATGTCTGCATTAAATCACATATACTTGTGGTGAACATGCAAACAAAAAACATGCTCTGGTCGGAAATGCATTGTCTTTGAAACGGATTGGTCCACAACAGAAGACGGCCTTCTTTAGAGCCTCTCATGTGGACCAATCAGTTTCAAAGACAATGCATATACTACCAGAGCATGTTTTTTAGTGTGTTCATGCTCTCGCCACAAGTGTGTGTGGTTAACGCAGACATGCTTGTCTGCAAAAGGTTTCAGTTTGGTGTTTTAACATCTTAACACAACTGTTTTATTGCCAGAAAGGGTAAAACCTATTCTTGTATTGTGTACGTTCTCCTGTGGAAATATATCCACGGCGCCATCGTCACGTTTCCTCTTAGATAAACACGGCCGGCCGCGGAGTGAACCACGAACCGCGATGGGGCTCGTGTTTGCCTTTTCCCCTCTTCGCCCCTTTGGGGTTGTTTAGCAAGGCCTCACTGCTGATGAGACCCTGGAGGTCGAACCCGATCCAGAGTTTGCTTGCTTTAAACAAACGCCGCTGCTGGATAATGTTGGCCTGAAAACCCGAGAGGCCGATGGGCTACAAACGATCTGTATTTGTGTGCGGGGAGACGCAGAATGGAGTTCTGCTGTTTGCTTTCACCCTGTGGCAGATGAGTCACAGTCATAGATCGGCTCATCGACCAGTGTCCATATATACACTCTGTTCAAATGCCACAATAAATGTATAATACCACTTCAGGGAGGTTTATGCAAAGGAGGTAGAATGAAGAAGTTAGAGCCCCACCAGGGTTCACTTGTATTGTCAAGACGGCAAGGGAGGCGAATCTTTAGAGCAGTGATGGGCAACCTGGACGGGTCGGTGGGCCACACGAGGGGCCCTCCTTCGCCCCTAGACACACTGAGACCAGGCCACCGTGAGGGGTTCCACAGGACGCATGTTGCCCACCCCTGCTTCAGATGGCCGATGCGCGCGTTGAGAAGAGACGCAGACGTCGTGATGAGCAGGGCTACGGGGGAGACCGAGGGTGAGACGGGATGAGATACGAGGCCGTTGGATGGCTCTGGAGAAGGGGGCACGGGAATGGAGGCTCACAGAGAGAGAAAAACCCCGAGCAGCTGCTACCGTGCAGTAATTGGACTCCTGGCTTAGATGGAGAAGAAAGTGGGAAGTTTTACTTGTTCCCCAGAGAGATAGAGATATCCGTCAATTCCTCATTGTCGAATGCCTCTGAGCACCTCACCTTGAGGTATGCGGGCTGGAAAATTGAGCGGCGCGTGAGTGATATGCTAAGCGAAAAGTTCTGCCCTTGCACACAGCCGCAACGACGCGAGTTCAATAAAGAAAGTGCAATGTGTGCACAGAGCAAAGGCTCCTGGCTGTAAAAGTGGCAGCTCTCCCTCCGGCCCTCGAAGCTTCGGTATGCGTGTTCGACCGGTGGCACGGTGGTTAGCGCACCGCACGGCCATAGCCAATATCAGTGGTGAGTGATATCCAAACGTGTTCTGGGCCTCCGGCTAAAATGAGTACCTTTAAACGGTGCGGTGTGTAAGCACCAGCACCGGGAAGACAAAGGTGGCCGGGCGTGGTGCTTAGCCACGCCACCCGCTTGCGCGATGCGCCGGCCTTCGTAGGTGCTCGCGAACAGCACATGTACCAGAAGGCTATGGTAGGCTACCCGGGTGGTCTTTGTCTATGCGCACAGCTGCTAGGAGCAAGATAGCAGTAATTCCTGGGAGCAGCGCAGCGGTGAGTGCTGGGTGTTTGTGGCGCATGGCCTTAGAGATCCAGAGCTTTGGCAGCGACATCTTGCGCTTTTGGTTAGACCCCTTCTCTAATCAGCGGAGCCGCACGTGTCCGCGTGTCTGTGCGCGTGCGGGTGTGCGCATGAGCGCGTGCATTTGTGTGTTGATGCGTGCGGGGGGGTGGCTTTGGTTCGGTAACCGACTGTCGCTTCGACTCGATCATTCAGATGTGGAAAACAAGCGACAGAGGCTGGAAACAAACTCTCTGAGTGGGTGGTCTGAATGGCAAAGTGAACCACACATTCAGTTCTTTTGAGCTGGTGGTCTGGATAAGGCTGAGAGCTTTTGCAAATGCAATGCTGCGGTGCACAGCTTTGTGTCCTATGAAATCTTTTTGACTTCATTATCAAACCTGTCCTACCAGCTGGATAAGGGCGCTGCCCCTCCCCACGGGGCCGTGGGGGCCGTCTGACCATGCTTCACCACGCCAATCGGCGCGGGTTGGCGAAGGCGCAGGGCGCAGACGCGGGAGCATAGACACACAGTACAACGCATTTCGCTGCAGTGGGTATTTCTCGGTCGGCGCCAGGGCAATATCGACAAAGTGACGGGTAAAAACAATTCCAGTGTTCACATTCGCCGTGTGGCCTCATAATGTTTTGAACAAAGGATTAGCGACACTTCACCGGTGCTTGTTGTGCAGGTGTGGTCCCGGCCGCCTTCCCTTTCAATGTTCCTATTTCCACGTTCGATCCGAGTTTTGAAGACCTCTGGGCAATGCAATGCGCGTACATTGCATTGGATGAAAATAACCCCGGCTGTCGGCCTCCTTTGGACTGCTGACGGCTCCAGCGCCACCACACTCGGTGGCGCTGGAGCCGTCGAGCGGCACAGGCGGTGCAGCTGTGCCGCGGCCCGGAGGGGCCCGGGCGCCAGGCGACGAAGAGGGGCGGGAAGTTGGACCGGCTGGGGCGAGGTTCGGGGTCCTTTCGTTCCTCGCGCCAGGGCCCATGCCAAGCGCGCTCCGGCACTCATCACGTGCGCGCGGGCGCACGCACGGCACCGTGCCATGTCTGCAGGGCGGCGAACTCACGTGGCGCAACTTGAGAAGGCTGATCGAGGGATTAACGGCAGTATGTGTGCGCGTGTCTTGGGTGTGTCCTCTTCTCCCCCCCCCCCCCACCCACATCGTCAAAACGGTGGAGCAGAGCATCGGCGGAGGCCCCACATCCCCCTGTTGCCTGGGTGACACTTCGGTGTTTGCGTTCCGCCCGCCGGGCCTGCTGGTGCCCGTCAAGCCCGTGGCATCTTCGGAGGGGCCCTCCTGTGCCTACTGATGGCGCGGCGCACCCTCGCGGGCCGGGGCCGACAGCGGGGCCCTCCGGACGGGTTTCCGGTGTCCCTCGCGCCCACTCCCCCTGGTCTGCCCCGGGCCACACCCCCCCGTCCGCAGGCTGCGGTGGAACAGTCGGTGGTCGGTGACCACGCCGTGCTCTCGGCCACCCGCCCACCCCCCGGGGGGAGCGTGCTGGGAGCGAGAGATCGTCTCGTCAGGGTTCTTGTTTGGAATTGGAGACGCCGCGCGCCCGGCTGTGATCGCCGATGCTTCTGTCCGGCTGTCCGGCCGCCGCGGTGCAAGGGGACGCTTCCACAAACACGTCAAGGATTTGTTTTACTTCGCTCTGCCTTCATCCGGCTCGTGTTCAAATCTTGACGGATACACGCGCGCACCCCGCTGTAATTTATTTTGCTTTCACGTGTGGCTTTTTGTTTGTTTGTTTCACTCGCGCGAGTTGCCCCACGCAATCAACTCGGTGCCCGTGTCTGTGCGCGGGGCCATGCACTTGCTAGTTTCCCAAATTACGCGAGTGCGAATTGTTTCCCCAAAGTAATCGGTTGGAGTCGCGAGGTTCGCCGTCTCCGGAAACCAAACTGTCCAAGCGTTGCAATGAACTTGCGTAAGAACCAGAGAGAGAGGTGCAGCAAAAGCGGCATTCGGAGGTTTTTTTTTACATGACTCCTTCGCTCCCTAATTATCCGGCCCCGTGGCCTCTTGAGGAAGAAGTTGTGTGGCTATGCGCTCCGAACGGCATGCGCCAAATTGGAGGCCAGGTCCAGGGAGGGGGTTCAGATCCAGGATATTCGGCTGCCTGTGATTGAACGGGGTTCTCAAACGCAGTGAGTTTATAGTTTCAGGCCAGTCACCGATGACTGAACACAAAGCCGCATCACGTAAAAAAAAATGTTCTGCACTTTGGCAACATTTCTGCTCTGAGAATGAAATCTCATCGGTTTTATCGTTCATTGCGGTGAACTTTGCCCTCATGAGACAGAGCGGGATGGGGAAGTTCTGCCCTCTGTGAAATCCGCTTCTTGTGGGCTGTTGTCTTACGTGAAGGGTTCCGCTGCTCCCAGAGGTCAAAGTGTTTGTATTACATCTCGTGACGCGATACCAATGACTCAATCAAGGTAAATTTGTTTTTTAATTTTTTGGTTTAATGAGAAAGTCTCTTACTCGCCCCTCACTTAGCTTCTCCATCTCCTCTGTGTCTCCGTCTGCCCTTGTGCCGCTCCTCAGAGTGGCCTCGTTTGCACAACAACCGCGCACGCAACGATCCATGACCAGCGCACCGAGTGCCAAAATCATTTTGCGGAGACTCGGGGACCCTGAATGAAATCAGCCGCTGTGACCTTGCAGTTTGTAATTGTGACAGTGCATTGTCACTGATGAATTAACTGCACACAATGCCACATCACGCTCTCTGGTTTGATCTTTTTAAAATTCGCGATGAACTTCGGGCACCATCAGTCCGTGACCGCTCGCCATTCACGATCTAACATTCGGCTTATTTCCGCATGAAGCTCTGGCATTTTCCAATGTCTTGTCTTGAGTCGGACGTCCTAAGCGTCTTTAATAGAATGTTTCACCGAGCCGATTATCTGCTGTGCGAAACGTGTTGCCTGTGCTTTGTTTGAACATGACGTTATACTACCCTCGGATATTATAAGCTGTTTATTTTAAGCGCGGCGTTTGGTTGACTCGAAAGGCAGTAAACGGCAGAGCGGAAGTGGTACTATCGCAAAGCCGCGCAGTTACTGTTTGAGTTTTAGGATCCGACAAGAGAAGGAACGCTCCGATAACGTTCGAGACATTGGCGTATTTGCAAAGCGCGTACGGGAAACTGGGTGGCGCTCGTCAACACACTTGCACGAGGAGCACAAAACAAAAGATTGTTCGGCGTGCAAGCGGAACCGGTGGGTGGGGAGGCCGGGTGAAGCACAATGGAAAGAGAAGGCTATGATTTACCGCGGACCGTTTCTCAATCTCACATTCCGTGAACCTCGCATCGCTCGCACAGATTTCCGTCCGGGTTGAAGGAGGTGTTTCCTGTTTACAGAAAAGTTCGCCGCAAAAGCCGGGAGACGCGTTTTGTAAGACTCACGCGACGCCGTTGAGCCAGAAGGGCTGGTGATTGTTGACAAATATTCTTTAGAACCTTTGACCACTTCCTTCAGTCGTTTTGTGGCCTTGAGTGTGGTATTGTTCCGGGCAGGTTCAGCACAACCGGACTTTGCATATGTGTTCATAAATCGGTGAACCGGAAACGTTGCAGTCTTTCATTTTATTCCCCCCTTCACCGGTTAATTTTCCGTGTTTTTGTTCTCCCTTCATGACATTTCTACAAACACATCTGTGCAAAGGTTTTAATGTCGCCGTGTGATGGCCACTGAAATTGGGACGGCTTCGGCCGGACTCCCATCTTCCCCCCCCACCCCCGACCCTGTTTGGCGGTGGCCCGCCACCTCGGCCGTACATCGGCCGAACGTTGGCCAGTCCGTGCGGTGTCTTGTGTGTCGCGAGCCACTTCGTGTCTTCACGCGTTACGCACGCTGTGCACAAGAGCCGATCGATGTCCCAGAATGAACTGCAGTTTCTGGACGGGGAGGGGGGGGGGGCTAAACGCTTCTGTGTTGATTATTGTTGCTGAAATCTGCTGACAAGCGGATAAACGGCGGTTGTCGAGGATTTTTTTTTATATATAAGGAAGAGATTTTACTGCCATTGCTGTTGGACGCTGCGTCGGAGAGCTGTCGCAAATCGGAAATGTAAACCTCTGTTGCTCGCCCTGGGGCCAGTGAAATGTAGGCTGCAGCGATCCGCAGCTGCAGTAATTTAGTTTCCAAGAAGACGTAAAATAAATGTGTATTGCAATGGAGCATAGGAAGTATCGAAAGTCGTAACAAAAATATTTCATAATGAACGTTACGCATTCCAGCACTTTAGAGGTCGCATGTTTAAGGCTTACGACGTCGTGATTTTGGTTTTCACTTTGCTGACGGTGTTGATATTGACCGTGTTGTTGATGTTGATCTTTCCGCCACTGGGGCTTTCGTGGCGATGATTGTAGAGGATGACCCCGGGGCGTGGGCCACCTCGTGTCGCCGGCGCAACGGTGACCTTTGCGGCCGGTGGCCGAAAAGCCCCGCGACCCGTTTGCGCGAACCGCATGACCCCGACGTATTGGAGCAGCTGGGCCTGCACCTTACTCCTGTCCACACCCCGAGTGTCTCCCCTTCGGTGGCCAAACGACCTGCTTTGGCCAGAACAGGGCAGTGTCCCCCTCCCCAAGCTTTTGTGAAAATCGGGATTTTGTCGCCGGTTTAAAATGTTCTGGCGTCATGCCCCCGACTCGTGATGCCTGGCCAGTGGCAAGGGCTACATGAACAGTTCTCTGAACAGTGGGCGGGGCTACGTGCGTGGTGGGTGGGGCCTATGGGAAGTAGGCGGGGGCTATGGGAAGGAGGCCGGAGCCATTGGCAAACTCGAGCGGGGCCGTTGGGTGGTGGAGCCAGGGGTGGTTATGCAAAGGGCGAAGTCCCCGATGGAGACAGGGGGGGCCTCCATGTGTCCTGGTTGAACCTCCCAATGCTCAAACGAGCATCTGGTAAATTCCACAAGCTGACTGCTTAGGGTATTCGTGGGTCACTACCCGGAAAGTGGCACTCATTTTATTGATCCCTGAAAGATGATGGTCAGATGTGAATCCCGATCGGGATTCGAAGCACATGCCAAATAGCCATCGAGATTCTCAGAGAGACATTGACTTTTTTTTGGGCGGGGGGCGGCGGGTGAGGTTGGATTTCGCGTCCACAGAGATGGAGCAATGAGAGTTCAACTCGTGTGCAAGGTTAGATGGCTTGCATCGCGAGGCCACACGAGTGATGGCGATGGCTTAGGGAGGCCTTCACCCTACGGTGGATAGATCACAGCTGATGGACGATAAGGGCAACGCCTGCTTTGCGTCCTGCGCACGTTTATTCGGTCGCTGCTGCGCGTCTGCGCAAGCCGGATTGGCTATTACTATTTTAACTGATAATTGTTAACAGTAATCGTTGTTTATGAGCGCAGGGCCGCCTAGAGGGGGGGTGAACAGAAGGGGATATTTGCCGCGGACGTTACACAAACGAGTTCCCCGCGACAGGGCCTGTGGGTAGTGGAATCGGGGAGGCCCACGTGGCATTCCACCCCGAGCCCCCAGGAGCCTGCGAGCAGCCCAGGCTAAAGGACACTGCACGCACACGGCCACGTGAGAGCGTTCCTCGCCACGTGGCCTTCTCCAGCCAGTCGGACGCTCTACGGCAGAATTGATGGATCATTCCAGCGGGAGTAACGATGGTTAATTGTGTTAATGAGCGACTCCTTGATCAACATCGCTCGCACGACAAGACCGGATTCTCCTTTTGATTTGGATGTACAAAATTGCTTTATTATTCCAAGAAGACGTACCGAGGTAGGGTTACACGCAAGGTAGGTGCCTGACCCTAACCCCCTAATCCTGAAACCAACTTGGTTCAGGGCGCTTGGTTGGCAGACAATGGCAGTGTGGCCTTGTGTCAGGAATGAAAATGTGAAGTGAACGCGAGCGGCGAATCTGCCCGGCGGATTCATGCGGCAGATTTTTTGGGGTCAGTCAAATGGTGCGGGAGTCCAGTCGTAACGCAAAGCGAGCGACCCTCGGTGTCCTAGAGTTATTATGGTGTCGTGTATAATTAGCCAGGAAAATCATCCACGTGGTCGGCTGGCAATGCTTGGCTTTACTCGTGCGCACAAGTTGGGGCACCACCACCCATTCGTCCAACAAGGGAGGCGTTTTGACCACAGGGCGGAGATCATAGCCAACGCAGGAGGTGCAATCGGAGATTAATTTGCCACCGAAAAATATTCCAGGTCTCTGATAGACTCGAGTAGGCTTTGCGACTAATAGCCGCAGCAATAGCAGCGAGGGGTATGGTGGATGTTGGTGGGCCCGGTGTGCGAAAATGTTTCCTGGACTACCGAGCCGGGGACAGAGCCCGGCTGCCATCAAGGAGGGGGGTGGGGGGGCGGCCCCTTTTGTGTTCGCAGCTTCAGTCTCCAGCGTGACGAGGCCAGGGCGGCAGGGCGGTCGCCACACGCGCTCGAAGCGTCCATGGGCATCGTCGCGTGCGTGGGGGGCACCGCTCGCCGCTGTCGCATGGGGGGCGGGGGGGGAGACGTCTCGGCCCGTCTAGTCGCGAGCGTTCGAAATTCGAACAAGCGCTAATCCACATTCACGATGAAATCGCCGCTTTCTCCGATTAACACTGCCGAGTGACAATGAATACATATCGTAGCCTGACGTTTTGGGCAATCAGCCTCTGCTCTGAAGATGAGCCATTGCCCGAAACGTCAGTTTGCAATGTGCTGCATATAATCTGTCTGTGAAGTCACACGCTTAACTCTGTGCACCGCAAAGTCTGCCACGGACCTCAGGTTGGCACCACACCAAGGGAGCAGCAGGAACGCACCACTCCCATCATTCCTCGCTTGCATGGGCATGTGGCCACCACATTTCACGTGCGGTACAACGCTTCTCAGCCTTGCCCAGACCTCCAGCTCTAGAGCTGCGTGTATCGCCACCCGTGCGTCCTGAGCTTTGTTAGTTTGCGTCATCAAAAGCGTTGTTGGTCTCCTGCGTGGGATTCCGACTCTTAAATCGCATGCGCCACTTCGCCCCGTTGTGCCAAGCACCAATTCGCTGCGATGCGTGGCGCTGAAGTACGGCCCTCGTTGTGCGCGAAATACGCCCGGATTGAGTTGAATTCAGTGGCGACCAGGGCGCTGCCTAATTCGCACGGCGTTGCCTCTCGATCGTGCGGTCGTCTCTCGCACAACCGTCTCCACCGTGACCGCCCATTCTCAATTCTCTACGTCCGGCGAATTATTCGTACACTTTGGGCGGCGTATTCTAGGCGTAAATTGTCTTGCGTTGACGACGCACTGTGCCGAGTCTGTGGAATTTAGTTTCCACGGGCATGTGTACACTCGTTAACAAAAAAAGTTCCAGCCGTTGCCAATCCACCGACGGATGAGAGAGACCTCGCCACGCCATCTCGGCCACGGGTTATTGTGTTTGTTTTGTGACCACACTTGACGCTGCTCGGTGGAGATTGGGGGCGTGAGGGCAGGGGCAGCGCTGATATCGCCTGCCACCGATGGCTATAGCCGTGGGCAGGAATCAAACTCGCCCGCTTCACCGTGCAGCGCGCCGAGCACTGTAGCACGTACTTAAGGAACACACTGTATATATGTATATAAATACAGTACGTACTTAAAACGCTGTGCAATGAACTGTTGATATTCGATGTTATGGAATGCGTCTCGAACACAGCATTATCGTTAAAGCATCGTTGTGGGGAATGTCGAGAACAAAATAAATAGTGCTCCTCGTAGTTTGCGTGTCCAAGCAGGACCCACGTCTCATACAGTGGGTCCTTGCCGATTGACATCGGGCAGTGCACCAGCATTGGTTTGAGCAAGCCTGACTGCTGATGAGACGCTTGAATGCTGATCCTGACCTAGAGTTTTGCTTGTGCTGCTCATGGAGATGCATTCCACAGGAAGCCATGAGGCCCGATGGGTTTCGCTCGAGAGGCGAACGTGGGAAGTTGAGAGGCGTTTTCTTTGGTTCTTTCGGTAAAGTCACATAGAATGAGAATAAAATAATAAATTGATAAAATAAAATAACCCAATAATATTTTATCAATTTATTATTTTATTCTCATTTTACGTGACTTTACCGAAAGAACCAAAGAAGATGAATCATTGCAGTCACGAAAGCTTTAAATCGAAATTTGAGAGGCGTTGTTTGTTTTGTACTATCGCTCGGTCATGGAACCAACCCGCTCATCATCAACGCGTTAGGAGCTGCCCCGGTCCGGGCTCGAGCTGCCGTTGACAGGCCGTGAATGTTTGGCCAAGGGCCTCTCGGTGAGTTTGTTGGGCGACCACATCCCTGTAAAGGTTACCGCTTTAATTCAATGCTCACCGCTAGTGGCTTAACGATCCCCCCTCCTCGCGCTTCAACGAAATCACCGATGGAATCCGTCTTATTTTATACCGCCCCCCCGCTTGAAACAGACTGCAGAGGCAGGGTTCACGGCTTGACAAGGCTCATGTTCACTGGCCCTTCTCTGAGAAATATCCGCTTACATCTCTTTAGCCACCACTGAGGAAAATCACCAAGGCACTGTTTGTCGACGTGTGAATCTGGTCCCTGGACATGATGGCCTCTTACCTGGTTATACACCTTAATCCAGCAGTCGTTTCACCATGGCTGCTGCTGCTGATGATGAAGATGGTCATCGTGAAGAAGACCTGATCATGATGATCTCTTCAGTGGCCTAGGATCACCGCTCGAATTTGTTATGGACTGGTTGACAGAGGACCGTGGCTGGACCCGTTTGTCAAGTTTGGTCAGCTCTGCCTGTTATTGTGCAACGATATTGACGTATTCTGAGCAGTATCGATCTCTTCAGCATTTGCATGTTTGGGATCCTGCGCTCCTCCTGGTGATATAATTCACTCGAGTCTTTTGATTTTCTATCGAATGGCTCAAAAAGGCAAACGTCAGTGGTCTCCCCTGCTCAGATAAGCGAACGGGCGGGTGCCCTTCTTCGTTCACGGCTCCTGAGCCGGTGGTGTAAGTTTCGCATTCCCGTGGCAGGCAGCTAGTCCTCCCCTTAGCACGACCACGGTTTACTTCCCACAATCTCGTACTGAGCTCATCGACCAGAGAGGAATGTGTTATGGGCTGAGTTGACCCCTGGACCAGGATTTGAACTCGGCCATGGCATGGGCCGGATTGTACGGCCGGGCTCGAGCGCGGGCAGAGGAGAGGACTCTGCAGGAATCGGTTTTGGGCGGTTCGATCGCACTCCATTACACGTGACGCCAGACGCGGCGCACGCTGGTAAACGATGTTGCGTCAGCGGCGCTGGATGTGTATAAAGTATATATTTTTTTCACAAGTTCGGCGCTTTATTAGTAAGTGCCCGCCCTTGACGAGCTGTTGGCTAAAATAGCGCGTTATCGGTCATCGCAAAATGTAATGGAAGTCCAAGCAATTATACGGAGACAATTAACTTTCGTGTAATAACGGTGACGATATGTATTTTCTTTCTTAAAATGGCACCGCTTGTTTTTCTTTGTTTAAAAAAAAAGTTTTATTATTCCGTGATGTTTATAAACATTGTAAAAAGAAAAACGACCCAAGAGGAATTCTATATTTGCCTCTCGAAACAATGGCAGGGCTGCCCCGCTGCTGCCAAGCTTATCGCTTCCCGACGGCGAAGTTGGGCCGGTCCTCTGTGCGACCCGCGGCCTCTGTGCGGCCACGCGGCCACACAGCTCGAAACGCTGCTGCCACCGTCAGCTCACCGTCTCGCAGTAGCTGACAGGTGTTACAAAACAAACTGCGGCAAGGAGGTTTACAACGTTACGGAATATCTGGCAGTAGAGGGATTTTCTTTTGTTGGCCTGTGTTCACGCGTGTCTCGTCATCATCGTCGCCGCCGGTGTAACCGAGGAATGCGTCGTTTTATTCGCACGTGCCGTGGTGTACCGTGCCGTGCGTGTCCCGTACGTTTCCCTACAAAGACGGACCGTTTTATAATTGCTCCAAGGTGACGTTTGTTACGACGACAATGGCCGTATCTATAACAATAACATCATAAAACCGACGAACTTAAAATAAAGAGCTCCCCCCAGCAATAAAGACGGAAAGCTCGCGAGTGGCCCGGGAGAGAGGCCGTCGCCTCCCGATGCAATGTTCAAGGCAGATAAATGGCAGCGGTTTCTGCGCGGAGGACCGACTCCGTCTGCGAACGCGGTCGCTTTGAACGATCGAATACCCCACAGCTGGTTACCTTGCGTGGCGTGACTCGTGAGCGATGGTTCGCACAGTCGCACAGACCTACCCCCCCCCCCCATTCACCCCCCTCGCCGCCGTTATCAGGGTGGTTGTGTTGGTGGTCGACGACGCTGTCGGGTGAACAGCGTCGTGGTGATTGCGCTCGGCTGTCGTGGGCATTACGAGACCGGCGCGCGCCATCGGAGCGCTGCGCGCGCCCGCCCGCTCGCGCGTGCGTGCGTCTCGGTACGCAGCAGAGGCCACTGGCTTGCAGCACCGTGCATAGACAAGTAGCGTGTGAATGTCTGTAACATTTCTGTGAAGCTGTTGATAGTCACTGAAAACAACTCAGGCTTTTCCCTGTGCCTACTCCACTATGATTTGTTTTTCCTACTGGACTCCTTGGGTGTAGTCTTAATAAAGCGACTTTCCTGACTGTTGTTGTCTCCCATTCTTAATTGTTCCTGCAATTATCTGATGAGCACTGTACATAATTATTTTCCGAGACGTCTGACCGGTGTGTAAAAGTAAGCCAAATGTCCCCTAGTGGGGCACTGTCGAGCTGTCTTTCGTTGAAGCCCTTCCGCCAGCATTGGGGTTGCAGGGCTGCACCTTTACCTCTTACCATGAAGTGTACTGGGGCTTTGTGGACAGTCTGTGCGCGATCCACCAACCCTTGGGTTGCCCCGCACGGAGGCTCCACGCTGGCGCACAGCGATCATAGCGGCCAGCCATACTCCAACCGTACTCCGCTCCGCTGTGCGCTGCCGGGCGATGTCCCCCGCCCGACTGCAAGTGAGAGGGTCACAAGTCACGGCTGCGCAGGCCGGGTGTGTCAAGTCGCTCTGCCGTTCTTTCAGAGAGGCCTGGTGCACTGCGTGGGCGATGTCCGACTCCGTCGCTCTGTCGTCCGCCCTCTGTTCACATTTCTGGTCGTGGTTGCGATCGGCGTTGCGTCGACCCTGAGGCTCCTGATCCCTACAAAAACGAGCACGGTGTCGCCACCGCGTTCTCGTCTGGCTAGAAACCAACGGACTTGCTTTAGCGATCGAGTTCCTTCGTGGGCAGATAAGGCCTCCCGTCTCTACAGGTCACTGTGCGGATGAACTCGTTGCACGCGAGAGAGGGCTGGTGGCTCAGAGGTCCAAGCACTGAGCCAGCACCACCTGAGATCCTCGGTTCAAGTCCAGGCAGCTGCCCTTGTGATTTAATCGGGTTCTGAAGTTAGTTGATGGTCTCAGCCCAGTTGTGCCATTTGTCTCAAGGACCCTGGACTCGTCTTCTGCGATGTCGAGGTTTTTGTCTTCGTTGTTGCTGCTGCTGTGCTCACGCAGCACCACGGATCTCCTGTGTAACATACTTGGGCAACTGGAAAAAAGGGGGCAAATCCGTGTAACAAATTAAATCAACTTCAACTGAAAAGAGTCACTGTACAAAACGAACCCCTTCGTATTGAATATCGGTTCTGCAATTTTGCTAAATTCCAGGTCTGATAAATTCAAAAGTATCGGTTTGACTCTCATGTGATGAACATTTCTGTCTGAAGTAGGGTAAGTGCAGCGGCCCCTCGTGTGGACCAGAGCGTCACTCGAACTTGAAGGGATCTCGAAGGGAGCTCTGGTGACCTCCGCTTCCACGGGACGTTCTCCAGCACGGAGGTTGCGTTGCTCTGCGAGGGTTCCGGAGGAACTCTTCGTCTCGTGCCGTGACACCGAAGGCACAATTGAAATACAATTGGGGAAAAGATAAACGCCGGAACTGTAGACACAGCAGGGAAAGAGAGGTCATGCTGTGGAAGCCGCGCAGACTCTGAAATGCTCGGTGTGGAATGGGTGACTGGAAAAGGCCGATATTCAGTTTGTCATAAACATGGTGACTGCAACTTCACACCAAATGCAAAGCTGTCAAGCTGTTAAAATATACAGGGTGCACAAGTTGTAAGACTAAATGATTTAATTCGGTGCATTGGCAATGGAGCGGCACGACGACTGCCTTATGGCGGACAAGTAGAACAGCAGAGGTCCCGTTTCAGGCAACGGGCCATGGCCAAAAGTGTGAGCTGCGACGAGACTCGGTTTTGGTTTGAAGGCGCAGACACAAACGGCGCCGGTTTCCTCCCACGTGGCAAGAATCATTCATTGGCCGACGCCACCTTCATGTGCACAGGACCGTAGACCTTGGACAACTGTTTGGGCCGGCTCAACGCGTGGCTGTCGTCCCTCGTTCCCCGCCCCTCCGAGTCGTCCTCTCTCTCTCTCTGTGTACGAGAGAGCCAGGAGTGAATACCTCGCGGCATATTACAAGTTGAATTACTGTTTGAAAATGTCAACTTACAAGGCTGCGCCGTTCGTTGAGAACATTGTGAGTTTTATTGACTCGTGTTTACGCCACTGACAACGCAGTCCGCTAATTTATTGTTTATTTGCGAGTAACAACACTAAACATGGTTATAATACAACTCTACCTCTGACAGGAACACACGGGTGACATATTTATACCCATAATTGTGATTCAACCCCTTCCTCGTGTTTTACCAGCATTGTGGTAAATGCTGATAAATTACGCGCAAGCATAGACGCATAAAAGAGAAACAGTTACTACTAATTTAGATGTTGAATTTTAATTGCAATTGGAAAGAAGTGTGTTTTTTTTGTTTTTACGGCCAAATTAAAGTGCTCGTTTATCTCGGCGCCGCGTGTATGGAACATGATTCTGCCGTGTGTACACGTGCGGAACAAAAGGTGAAGAGTGCGTAGAGACACGTGGACTCGCACCGAGAGGCAGCCAGAGCAACGTGTGTTAGAGGACATACCCCAGGGACCGGCAAACACAATAATAAGAAGAAGAGCCATTTCGCTTTCGGTAAAAACATATATTTCAAGAGCCGCAATGCATTGTCTGGTGAATAGGAGAAGGCGGTGGTCCTTAATAAATAACGTGTCTCGACACTGTCATCAAAGAGCCACCGCATGCGGCTTCGGATCCGCAGGTGGCCGACTCCTGACGTGCACAGAGACGTCGAATTGACTTAAGAAAAGCAAGCGGCGCTTAGGGCACGTCGCAAGCAAGAAGCGATGGCCGGTGGTCGAGACGAACGAACGAGTGGCAGTCGAAGGAGGGAGCCCGCCAGAGAGGACGTGCGCCCTGGAGAAGGAGCGGTGAGTTCGACTCGTGTGCGGGAGCGAGATGGATCGCGAGACGTTGAGAGATGGGCGAGGGTGTCGGAAGAAGGCCTTCGTCCGGCAGTGGATGGATCATGGCTGATTACTGTGGATGTACGCGATACAGGAGCCCCGACTGTGTAGAGATATAAAACACTCTCCTTGTATCCGGCTTACTGTGGGGGACGCCCGTGACAGATCCTATCATCCGTGTTTACTTGTACAAACGTTTCTCCACGCGGTGAAACGTGGAGAAAATTATATGCGTGCGGAGGCACGCATAAAAGGAAGAAAAAATTGTTGCGCGATGACAGGGCGATCCTTTTATAGACACCCCACTGATATCGAATGGACCCCCCCCCCTAACTTCCCAACCGGGCAGAGTGATTCCTGCTGAAATGAGTGTCATCATTATTGGTTTTCGTCATTGTTTTTTTTACTATCGGCAGTATTTTATCGTCGGCCGCTCATCTTGCCGGGCCACAGCCGAAGCTTCGTCAGCGGCGGCAGGGATGGGGCCCTGAGGTCGCTGCGCTCGGAGTCCGGGCAGAGCGGCCGTGACGCGGTCCGTCGCTCGACACACCCGGTGTTCACCCCCCCCCCCCCCCCCCCCCCAGTTGACAAGGCTGAGCCAGTGGTGGGCATTCCACATTACTGTGGCGGACGCGAATTTTTTTCCAGAGGACGACGGGCGATTGGATACTGTGAGAGCGATGGCTCCGTGGGACGAGATTCGAGTTGTGCGTTGAGGTTGGTGGGTGGCGTGCAGAGGCTTTAGAATGAAACGTTGTTCTCTCTCTAATGTCTCTTGAGTTATCGTGATGGGGTATCTGTAAATTGATCGCTCTGTAAAAGCATGAACATGCTCACACGAGAGGCGTTTGGCAGAGTCTAAAGCTGGCAGATTTGCATATCCCGATCAAACGACCAGTTACAAAAATAGAACAAGTGATTTAGCGCTGCTGTAGGACAAGAGCTTGCATTCAATTAGGCCGATCTAACATAGCCCACGATTTAATTGCAAATAATTATCCTTTACATTATTGCTTTAAGGATGCCAAGTTAATCAGTTGCCGCGTATATGCAGGCGTGTGCTCGCTGTATTATTATTTTAGCAATTACACGGCCGTGTTAAATCACAATGCCTGCTAACACGACTTGTTCATCTCAATGAGCTGTGAAACACTGCAGTATTAAAATGCAGATTAGTTGCTAATCTGAGCTCTATGGTAATCCTTCATCTGGTGTTATTTTTTTATGTCTTATTCTAATATGCATTGTTATTCTCAGGCTGCAGGATTGGCAGCGTGACCTTTGACCCAACCCTGCCAGCAATCTGATTATTTGTCACGATTCATTAAAAAAGTGATTATTTCAGCATCATCTCCTTTCTGCTTTCCCACGACGGGTGAGAATGTTAATTTTATCGCCTGCTGTTTACCACGTAGGGAAGCCTCGCCAAGTCTCATGACTCGTTTTCTTGAGGATCCTGCCAAGCTCTCACAGTAGGAAGGGGGGGGGGGGGCGATGATTACCGTATTTTAATTGAGTAATTGGTGGTGTAATTTTTTTTCAAATTTGGCAAACTTGGACCATGCGAACGCTGACACGAGATCTTCAACTTACACTGTGAAGCAGGCGGCATGCAGTATATTTTTAGGGTTAATACGCACGACTGCAGTATTAATCAGGGCGGCCTGTTGGTTTCGAGCCGTGGAGCGCTGCAACAAGCGGGGAATGCGCTGCCGCTGGGTCGCGTCACCGTGCGTCAAGCTCTGTTTGTCTCGCGGCAGGTGCTCGATAGCGCGTAAAAAAATCATCAATTATGAATGTTATTACAAAGATGATCCAATATGGGTGTTCCTATAATGTTCGTGTATGGTGAATTTCTTTCGCACCCTACGTAGCCATCCATGCTAATCGGAGGTGTGGGGGAGGACAAGGTGATCCATCTTGTGCTACAAAATGATTCAATATGAATGTTATCACAAAGATGATCCAATATGAGTGTTCCTACAATGTTCGTGTATGGTGAATTTCTTTCGCACCGTACGTAGCCATCCGTGCTAATCGGAGGTGTGGGGGAGGACAAGGTGATCCATCTTGTGCTATAAAAAATGATCCAATATGAATGTTATTACAAAGATGATCCAATATGAAAGGCTCTTTTAAAGATGCGTTGCTCTTCGATATTTTTTTCCCGATAGCCAACCAGGAAAATTGATCAAGGGTTTCCCAAACACCTCGGCAAAAATAAAAAAAATGAACGCCAGTT